TAAGCTGATGGTGGAAATTAGTGCCACCCCCTTAAGAAGCTAGAAGATGTGAAGTTGTTGGTCCCTATTAAATGTCCATCAAATTCCCCAGTATGGCCCTTGCAAAAACTGGAAGGATCCTGGAAGATTAAAGCAGACTACTGCAAACTCAAAAAAAGTAGTAGTCTCAATTGCAGCAGCCATGCCAGATGTGGTATTTTCGCTAGAGGAGATCATTATGTTCTCAGGTACATCGTATAAATCCATTAATGGGGTGAATATATTCTATTCTGCTAAGGTAAGAAGGAGCTGTCATTCACACAGAATACGCAATATTATATGTTTGCAGTTTTGCCCTAGGACTATGTCAACTCTCCCGCCCTCCAAACTGTTTGAACATCTTGCAGAACAGTACATTGATTTACTGCATCAATGCTGTTATGTTAATCGGGCCAGACGGGAAAGAAGCTGCTATCATAATCCTTGATAAGACACAAGTGCTCCACAGAATGAAAGATAAACCCTACAAAGATTCAGGGGCCTTCACATTATTAAAATTACAGGGTTCCTATGAACAGGGATATGCCAGGATATTCATTCCAAAATAAAAGACAACTTACAACATTTTATACTTCTCACCACACCCACACAAAAAATGCTCAACATCTTTGAGTTACGTGGGTGGCATATTTCATGATTCCACATGTGGAATTACTGCTGTGGCCCATATGTGGGATAATACCAATGGCTGTCAGATCTGGGGGAGACAAGAACAGGAAAAACTCGATTACAAGTCTAGACAGTGGTATAAGCAGTTCTGCTGCTCGGCCATGCAACCTGGTAGGCTCTATAATATTAGAGGTATTGGTGGTAGGTAAAGATGACCTTTGGAGCTTCTGGAAAGCCCAACATGCAGAATCACATGTATATACCTGAAGCTTTGGAACAAGGCCATCTAATATGCCTTTGAAAAACAACTTATGGCATGCCCTGGTGGAGGTGAAGCACCTGACCATGGGATACCAATTGATGGATTATTTATCCACAAACACCCATCAGCAGCTGGGGTCTGTCAGATAGATCCATTGCATCATAAAGCTGGCAGCAAACCATCATAATACAGAATTGGCAAGTCAGAAGTTAAGATACTTGTGCAGAGAGACCAGACTGCCATCTTATCCACCAATGTTGGACAGTGTCCCTTCTTTGGCACATATCTACAACAAGCTGACACAGAAAAAACTTGGGCTTGGTTTTTGAATGGGTCATCTGGGTATGTGGGTGCAATATGAAAATGGACGGCAACTGCCATTGGTCAGAGCTAGTCCCCAAATCTGCCTAATTCCAATGATGCTGCAAAGTGTCATTTCTCAAATGCCTGGAAAGGAGCCAGATAGTATTGGTGTGCACAAGTAATATCTAGCACAAAAGGCATTTTTAGACTTGTTTTTCTTCTTTTCCTCACTGATCACTTTCTAAATGTTTCCCCTATCTCTCTTTGTGGTAGATGGGAGATACACTGCCCAGACTGGCGAGAGAAAATTTTTCCAATGGGCAGAGCTTTTGGCACTGCCTTCTCCCACATGTATGTCCACATGTCTTTACCCTAGACTTACTTGCCTACAATCTTTCAATTTCTCCTCTTCTAGGCCCTGACCAGCCTGTCAGATTATTCACCACTGCCCAGAAGTATGTTTTATGCTGATCTCAGGCCATTTTCTCTTCCTCACAAATAAACTATCAGAAATCAGAAAGGTTTTGTGCAATTTATTTTGTCTAATTAAAAAAATGAAAATTATTTAACTTCTCCTTGTTGAGTCACCTAATTTACATCCCCAACTCTGAGCAAAGCTTGCTTATGTGGTCAAGAAATCATTACTGTATTAATTTCTACTCTCCTTTAATAATCATTGATATTTCATATATCATATATTACTATAATAATAAAATTAAAATTAAAATTGCAGAATGATTATTAACCAGTTTGACAAGTATAAGAATCATATACATATTATATCTTTCTCATAACTAAAAAATGAATTTTATAGCATTGTTTGTCTCAACTAGCATTCTAACTTTTTACTGTTCATAGCCGTATATGTTTTGTTTTCTAAAACATTGTCTATCCTTTTTGAAGAGTTATTTTAAAAAGAAGAATGAAAAGCAATGGGGAAAGATTCACTATTTAATAAGTGAGTTTGGGAGAACTGGATAACAATATACAAAAAATTGAAGCTGGACCCCTTCCTTAATACCTTATACAAAAATTAACTCAAGACGGATTAAAGACTTAAATAGAAAACCTAAAACCATAAAATCCCTGGAAGAAAACCTAGGCAATATCACTTAGGACATAGGCACAAGCAAATATTTCATAACAAAAACTCCGAAAGCAACTGCAACAAAAGCAAAAATTTACAAATGGGATGTAATTAAACTAAAGAGGTTCTGCACAGCACAAGAAACTATCATTAGAATGAACAGACAACCTATAGAATGGGAGACAATTTTTGCAATCTATCTATCTGACAAAGGTCTAATATCCAGAGTTTATAAGGAACCTAAACAAATTTATAAGAAAAAACAACCCCATTAAAAAGTCAGCATAGGACCTGAACAGATATTTCTCAAAAGAAGACATTCATGTGGATAACAAACATATGAAGGAAAGCTCAATATCACCGATCATTAGAAAAACGTAAATCAAAACCACAATGAGATATCATCTCATGCCAGTCAGAATGATGATTATTAAAAAGTCAAGAAACAACAGATGCTGGAGAGGTTGTGGAGAAAAAGAAATACTTTTACACTGTTGGTGGGAGTGTAAATTAGTTCAACCATTGTGGAAGATATTATGGCGATTCCTCAAAGATCTAGAAGCAAAAATACCATTTGACTCAGCAATTCCACTACTGGGTACATATGCAAAGGAATATAAATCATTATATTATAAATGTACATGCATGTATATGTTCATTGCAGCACTATTGGCAATGGCAAAGACATGGAATCAACCCAAATGACCATCAGTGATAGACTGGAGAAAGAAAACATGGTACGTATACCCCATGGACTACTATGCAGACATAAAAAGAAATGAGATCAAGTACTTTGCAGGGACATGGATGGAGCTGGAAGCCATTAACCTCAGGAAACTAACACAGGAACAGAAAACCAAACACTGCATGTTCTCACTTAAGTGGGAGCTGAATGATGAGAACACATGGATCCCTGGTGGGGAACAACACACACTGGGGCCTATCTCAAGGGTGGAGGGAGGGAGAGTATCAGGAAGAATAGCTAATAGATCCTGGGCTTAATACCTAGGTGATGGGTTGATCTGTGCAGCAAACCACTATGGAACATGTTTACCTATGTAACAAACCTGCACATCCTGCACATGTACCCTGGTACTTAAAAGTTGAAGAAAAAAACATAAAGAAAGGAGAGTGAAATATCTATGGGAACATAAATAATATTTGATTAATTGGAAAATTATTTTGCAGTTTCCTTAACTCTGTCTTTCAAGACAAACAGGCTGATAAAATTCTGAATTGCTGACAAATATATTTGGCCATCCATTTGTATATCAGAAACACGACAAACTTTCATTCAATTTTCAAATGCAGATCATATTGTAATTAACTCAGTTATTGTTTCTGAAGTACATTTTATTAATTACTTTCTGTTTGTGATTAAGCTGAATTTAATGACTTCCTTAAATGAAAATGCTCTTTTCAAAGAATTTTGCTGGATATCTTCAAGATTTGTTTAATAGGCCTGTGTATTCCATTATTACCATGATAAAAAAAATCGTGAATTTTTTTGTTTGTGACAGATAATAAAAATCAACATAGCATCAATAATTTGAAAAATATTTGAAAATAAGCTGAGCCATATAATTTAAAAATAAACAAAAATCTAAGGATTACATTTTTTCAAATGAACATTTTGAAACCATAGTTACTTTGAAAATAGAGCAGGTTTTAAATAACAGATCCTTTAATAGTGATTGCATCAAGAAATCTGGTAGTACTTACATAAGTTTCTTGAAAATAAAACAGTAAAACCATTATAAGTGTGACGTAGCTGATAGTATTTCATTTTATTCTCATTTGATGTGTAAGAAAACCCCTTTATGGGGTTTTTAAAGGTTTTTTTAAAAAATGGGTTTGTGATAGTTACTAGTGCAAGAAAAATGCAAAAAATACAGAAGAACTTGGGAGTAATCCCTGGACGTTATATGCTACCATGAAAATATTTGATAACAGTGACTCAGAGTAGGAAAAAATCTATTTCCTTAAGTAAAAAATTTCTAAAATCAGTGTAAAATAAGATAAAGGCTCTAAAATTATTCATTATTTATAATATCCTGAATATACTCATGAAGGCACCTAATGCTGTAAGTCTTAAAAGTAAGGAGATCACAAGGATCTAGAAATAGAAATTCCATTTGACTCAGCAATCCCATTACTGGATATATACCCAAAAGATTATAAATCGTTCTATTATAAAGACACATGCACATGAATGTTCATTGCAGCACTGTTTACAATAGCAAAGACCTGGGACCAACCCAAATGCCCATCAATGATAGACTGGACAAGAAAAATGTGGCACATATACACCATGGAATACTATGCAGCCATAAAAAATGAGAGTTCATGTCCTTTGTAGGGACATGGATGAATCTGGAAACCATCATTCTCAGCAAACTGACAAAAGAACAGAAAATCAAACACTGCATGTTCTCACTTATAGGTGGTGTTGAATAATGAGAACACATGGACACAGGGAGGGGAACATCACACACTGGGGTCTGTTGGGGGAGCACTAAAGGAAGGGCAGCGGAGGGTAGGGAGGTTGGGGAGGGATAACATGGGGAGAAATGCCAAATGTACGTGACGGGGGGATGGAGGCAGCAAACCACCTTGCCATGCAACAACCCTGCATGATCTGTACATTTACCCCAGAACCTAAAGTAAAAAAAAAAAAAAAAAAGGAATGAGATCATTTCCTTTAAGTGTAGTGAGCTGTTTATAGATAAGTAGGCAAACTCAACACAGAATTTTATATACATTTGTCAAGAGTGTATGTGCTTTTTATGTTCTATACAAAACATTTTTATATTCAACATTAAAATATTTTCTGATAGTAAACAAAAATACTTTTTCACAATTGAACTCCTTCTATTATTAAAGATAGCTCAGCACTTTTTATATTTACAGAATGAGACACAGGCTGTCTTGATAGATGACTACATTTTTGTCTAATTTCCCCCATAGAGTTATTATATCTTTTAGACAAACTAAATTTAGCTGTGTCCCAATTGACAATAAGATTGAAATCCTCTGGAAGTAAAGTTGATCTCTTCTTGTTCCCTCTTATTTTAGTACCAGGGGTCTTCTGTAGGTTGTGGTTATTATATTTACAGTCTTTGGTCATCCAGCTTTGACTAGTGTGGTATTTTCCACTGATGCATGGGCTTTTCATTCCAGTGGGACATACAGTATTCTTATGAACAATAGGAGGAAGAAATGTTTGAGATGGTATTTTCCCAAATGATGCAGTGGGTAGATCTTGAAGATATCTGGGGAAGTGTTGGCTAATTTTATATTCATAGGTTAATTTTCTTGAATTATCTAATTTGATAGAGCATAGATTATCTATTATTATATTTTCATAGGCATCTTTTGGGCCTTGAAGTGTATTCAATTTATCAAAATTACACTGAGGTATGCTAGGTACAATTCCAAGTCTATTTTGTTTTAAGACTAATCCAGTACCAGGAATAAAAAGTTCTGGTTCTTCTTGCTTTGATAGATGAATGATGTCTCCGTTTGAAACAGACTGATGTGCTTGTCCCTTCATTGCTGCATGTTTCCAAGTTAAAGGGTTATATATAACTTGTCCATCAATAGGGCATGAATTGCACTTGTGGAATAACCAATTGTCAATACATTTCCTGTGAAACTTTAAAAAAAGATAAGCTAATCAGAGCTATAATAATCTTGTTTATAATATTTAAATAGATTTCCACCAGTTTTATAATTGTGTGATTATTTAAAATATTTAGCAAAATTGAAAAATAATTATCAGGTTTTATGAAAATATTTTGAAGAAGTTCACTTCTAAATATAACTGATGTAGGGACTGATTTCGATTTTTGATATTAAAATGCAAAGACTTTTATGGATAGCACTCTTGTAATTTTGTTAAAACCTATCTACTTAAACCTATTAATTTCACTGCTGTCTAATTATTTCTAATGAAAATTATTTTAAGTCATAACTGGGAGGAAGGCAGCAAATCACGCTGCCATGTGTGTACCTATGCAACAATCTTGCACATTCTTCACATGTACCCCCAAACCTAAAATGCAATTTAAAAAAAAAGTCATAACCGACCGGAGTTGAAAATGGGTCTGATGACAGTAAGATAAAAAATAACAAGCTAAATTTTTGGAAATAAAATAATAGGCCATTTTAAGTAAGGATGACTCTAAAGCTTCATTACTGAAGCTTTATTTGCTAAAGCGACTTCATTCAGAAAAAAACTTGGTTATCAACCACTGTATAGTTGATCATCAATTATATAGTGATCAAGCAGTAGTATGGTGATTCTAGTAAGTTCAGAAGAAGTAATAATTATGTGAATTTAGGCACTTACGTAGCAAAATATTAGTATTCTATAAGCTTTTTCTTTCTTTCTAAGCTTTTTTCTTTAGATAACTAAAGTGGATAAAAATAATCCAGCTTAAAGTGCCATTTTATCTTTCCTAGCTAGTATATACAGAAATGAGTACTAATCACTATAAATACATCCTCAGGGAGCAAAGCTGCATTCTCAATAGTCTCTGCGGTAGTTCTTTCTACATGTGCTATACAATGTGAACACCTCTGTACAGAGTACAATTCAAAAATAAAAGGGAAGACTTAAATTATCACTTCATTTGTGAAAATTGATCCTACAGGGAAAGTCAAACTAAAATGATGTGACTTTTACCTTGTGAGTACATGGTAGCAATCTTATATGTTGACCAAGATGAAATGCCTTCAAGCAAAGTAGACACTGGTAGCCTGGGGCAAGGAGCTTACTATTCTTAGTAATCAGTCGGAGAGGCAGTGATCTTACAACGTGTTTTGGTGTGTAAACTTGGCTGAATGAGAATAAGTAGAAACATAAGTGTTCACATGTTATTATAGATCAGGAAGTGATCAATAGCACAGGTAAATAACCTCTATATAAATAATGTAATCAAACCCTAGGTTTTCTTGAACTAAAGATAGTAAATCTCATACATTATAAAGTTAAAAAAAAAAAACCTATTTTATTGATCCTGAACAATATGGATCCAACTTCATAAAGAACAAAGTTTTCGGCAGGCACAGTGGCTCACACCTGTAATCCCAGCACTTTGGGAGGCTGAGGTGGGTGGATTACCTACGATCAGGTGTTTGACAGTAGCCTGGCCAACATGGTAAACCCTATCTCTAATAAAAATACAGAAAAGTTAGCTGGGCATGGTGGCAGGTGCCTGTAATCCCAGCTACTTGGGAGGCTGAGGCAGGAGAATCACCTGGACCTGGGAGGTGGAGGTTGGAGTGAGCCAAGATCACACCACTGCACTCCAGCCTGGGTGACATAGTGAGACTCCATCTCAAAAAAAAAAAAAAAAAAGAACAAAGTTCTACATAGTCATATCATATAAAAATGCTAACCTAAAATTTTCGAGTTTGAGTTGCACTTTAGCGTCAATAAAAGCAGACCATATACTCAAATTATAATATTTTAGTCTGAGCCTACACTTAGGCAAATATTTAGAAAAGTATAAACAAATTCACTCTGTCTTCTGGTAGGAAGTGAAGTATATAGTAAGTCACATTAAATATTATAGACTACTATGACAAACTGGTAGATCATAAGAGATAAGAAAATTTGTTTGCACTTGGGGTATATTCTTACCACTTCAATATTGTTAGGCTATGTTAACGTAACTCTAAAAGTACCAGCTCCATTTTTTGTACCAGAAGTGCTGACTGACATAACTAAGATGATAAACTATGAATTAACTGCTATTTGATGCCATCGCAACTGGTGAAAGATATACAACAAATCTTTAAGAAAAAAAAAGCTTGGTTAAAAAGTCAGGTGTATCCCTATCATTCAAAAGTCATTCGGAACAAAGTCCAAATATATTCTTCACGAAAGTCTGTACTTCTCATTACTCTACAGATATATCCCCATCATATTACAGAAACAGCTTTTACCAAAGTCATCTGATTTAAATTAAAATGTATATGTATATGTGTGTGTGTGTGTGTGTGTGTGTGTGTGTGTATATATATATATATATTTTTTTTTTTTTTTTTTTTTTTGACAGAGTCTTGCTCTATCACCAGGCTGGAGTGCAGTGGCGCAATCCTGGCTCACTGCAACTTCTGTTTTCCGATTTCAAGCAATTCTCCTGCCTCAGACTCCTGAGTAGCTGGGACAACAGGCATGCACCACCAGACCCAGCTAATTTTTTGCACTTTTAGTAGAGACGGGATTTCACTATGTTGGCCAGGATGATCCTGATCTCTTGACCTCGTGATCTGCCCGCCTCGGCCTCCCAAAGTGCTGGGATTACAGGCGTGAGCCACCGCGCCCGGCCAAAATGTATATTTTTAGAACTTTTTTAAGGTTGTTACCTACTCATCTTTTTCCCGAAATTCTTTTTATTTATTCCATTTTCTCTGCCTAAAATGTCCTTCTTCCCCTAATGTTCTCCTTCTCAACTCCCTGTCCCACAATATCTCCTAAGTCCAACCATTGGTTATACAACTTATCATTGCAACAGTAAGAAGTATAATACCTGTGCAGGGAAAATGGAGTTTCAAAGCCTTTGTGTAGGCTCGTTTTATTCCCCATAAGAGCTCTGGTCTCCAATGTGTGTGGAGTACCCACAGGCATGGGCTATGTATCAATTGAGGTTTGGATAGAAACTTACATATACATGTGTATGTATTTATGTGTGAAGGTATGGGTGTATTATATGTATGTGTATATATATATATATATAGATAGATAGATATATATACACACATATATGTAGTGAGATATATATTTAGTGGGTACATTTTTGTTTGGTTGATTCATTGAAATTATTATTTTTAACTTCTATTTTATCCCATCCTTTAGAAGTTGCCTCTTTTCTATGCATTTCATAATGTACACAATCTTTTAATATCATATGACATGCTAAATTTTCTTTCTTTCCTTCTTTCTTTGTTTTTTTTTGAGATGAAGTCTCACTCTTTTGTCCAGGCTGGAGTGCAGTGTTCCTATCTTGGCTCACTGCAACCTCCAGCTCCCAGGTTCAAGTGACTCTCCTGCCTCAGCCTCTTGAGTAGTTGGAATTACAGGTATGTGCCACCATGCCCTGCTAATTTTTTTAATATATTTTTTTAAGTAGAGATGAGGTTTCACCATGTTGGCCAGGCTGGTCTCCAACTCCTGACCTCAGGTGATCCACCTGCCTTGGCCTCCCAAAGTGCTGGGATTACAGGCATGAGCCATCACCCCAGCCTAAATTTTCTTTAATTGAACAGTATTATTACAAAAGGTCTGGAGACCCCTCCACTAATAATGTTTTGAATGAATGTTCTGAAATATAACCAATCTGCTCAGCACTCTTCCTCCAACAGGGTGAAGTAGAGAGTAGACAGAAGGGGAATGAAGCAAAAAAAGAACTTCTTTCCCTAGAGGCCAGTTATTTCAAAGGCAAATTTCAGATAGTTTTGAATCTTATTTTTAATAACATAATTTATGTCAGTTTCAAATTTTACACTTACTTCAATGATTATTTGATTACTGAGGAAACTACTGTATTCCCCATATCTAGTAGAGTTTCTGGCCAAATTAATAATAACAAATAACATTATTTGAATATTTATTGTGTATTAACTCATTTCATAATCACAAAATTCCTACAATACTGGTTTTAACAATTCCCATTTTAAAGATGAGGAAAATGTGGCAGATAGAAGTGAGGTAACTAGTCCACAAGTCACATAGACAGCATGTGGTCAAACTATGATTGGATTCAGGCAGTCTAGCTCTACAGCATTGCTCTTCAGTTGGATGCTACAATCTCACTAGTATATAAGTGCTCAATAAGAAGAATAAAGGAATTAATAAAATTTATTCCAATTGAAGTTATTCAAAGATTCTGTCACACAAGACATATAAATTTTACTAGGAACCTCACCTTTGCTTTTCTTGAAAATGTGGTATCTTTTCTTCTATCTCATTTTTAGTATCTATGTATTGTACAACTTCTTCTGCTCTTTTTTCTAGTAATCTCCATTGTTGGTTTCTTTTCTGTAATAGGTAGAAAGTAGATGTTACTTTGCAAAGTCATGGATATTTTCAGTTTGTGGATAAAAATTAGGCGGCTGCATATCAATAACATGAATAATACACAATATTTTAAAGCATACATATTATTTTTTAATACATTAAAGTATTTACAAATTATTAGTGAGTCTCATGTGCTATTGCATAGCTACTATAAGGGCATTACTTTTTAAGGTAAAAATAATAATAATTGTGGATGTTTTATCTTGTCTGGTAAATAGAAGGTAGTATTATTCAGCATCTGGAGATACTTTTTAAGTGTACAGTTTAAATGATCTCAGTAAAATTCCATGTTTCGTTATTATGTAAGAAACTTTAAGAGAAAATCATAAATATTTTGGTGTTACGTTATAAGCCAATTTTTAATGTTGAGAGGTTTTAAAAACTAATTTTCAAGTTTGATAGCTATAATTTCTGTTCCAAAAATTTATTTATGTCATCACATTTTTCTTATTGTGTTAGATTTTATAAATTACCAGGAAAGAACTGGTTGCCTTGTGCATCCTTATAAAAAAGAGTTCTCCTAAAAATATGGCTTCAGGTTTGTATTAAAAACCATTCAGCTCTATTCCACAGTGTTATATATTATTTTTATTCTTAGACTGACTTAGCTCTGTAATAGAAGAAATAGAAACACCATATTAGATTCAAGATGGATACTGTACCTTACGAAATGTAAATGTGTGTGAAAGATGGCAGCAGCTATCAAAACATTCCTGGCATAAGTGATATTCTATGCATTCGGTACACCTAAAAATATAAAACATCAAAACACGCAAGAAAAGAAACCAATTATTGTGATGGTTTTGGGTGAAAAATTCTGACCAAAACACAACAAGGATCGTTTCAAGTCACACTATGTATTAGTTTCCTATTGCTGCTATAAAAATTTACTAAAAACTTAGCTTAAACTGCACAAATTTATTATCTTACCGTTCCATAGGATAGAAGTCTGAGATGCATTTCAATGTGCTAAAACCAAGGGATTGGCAGGGCTGTGTTACTTTTGGGGGGCTATAGGGGGGAATCTATTTCCTTGCTCTTTCCACCTTCTAGAACAGGGGTCCCCAACCCCGGGCGCCAACCTGGTCTGTGGCCGGTTAGGACCCGGGACATACAGCAGGAGGTGAATGGTGGGCAAGCAAATCTCCACCTTCTGTCAGATCAGTGGTGGCATCAGATTCTCATAGGAGCGTGAACCCTATTGTGAACTCATATCTCTCACATATGAGAGATCTAGGGTGTGCGCTCCTTATGAGAATCTAACTAATGTCTGATGATCTGAGGTGGAACAGTTTCATCCTGAAATCATACCCCAACAATCCCTGTGAAAAACATTTTCTTCCACAAAACTGGTCCCTGGGGCCAAAATGTTTGGGGACCACTGTTCTAGAAACTGCCTATATTTATTAGCTTGTGATCCCTTTCCTCCATTTTCAAAGCAGTAGCATCTCTCGGCCTTTCTTTCACAGTCACATTTCTCTCTGACTCTCTCGCCTCCCTCTTCTACTTTTAAGAGCCCATATGATTACACAGGCTTGTCCAGGCAATCCAGGATAACCTTTCTATTTTAAGATCAGCCGATTAGAAACCTTAATTTCATCTGCAACCTTAATTTCCCTCTGACATGCAACCTGACATACAGGTTCTGGGAATAAGGATGCGGGCATTTTAGGAAGTCCATTATTTTGCCCACCACATGCCCTTTCCATGATGCCTTCTCAGGCTACCTTAGCTTTAATTTACCTCTTTCTCTAAATTCTTATAGGATCTACAGCCTCTTAGATATTCTGTCATTTGATTATTCAGTGCTGCTTTCCAGTTTTTTCATGAATGCCAGAGTTAGAGTTAGCAGCATATTTCTTGAAAACAGGAATTATATTCTCTTTTCCCACAGAATGGAAAAAGGTAAACACATAAAAAAAAAAAAAAAAACCCTTTCTGTAAAAGCCCCATCTCAAGGTTATATTGTTTATAAAAATTTTGTCACAAGCAGAGGATTTTTAATTACTTGCGACATAATTTACCAAACTGAAAATATTCTGAGCAGTAGTCAAGTAAACTGATTTTTTATTCAAGTTATGAAAGATTTAGAAGATTATTGCCATGAGAAATTTAAGAAAATATGGCCCTCAGACATCTTAAAAGAAGCAAATGCAAATTTATTCATTATTACTCTTTATATATACAGGGAAGATTTTAATAATTAACACCAATGGATTGGAGCAATGGTGCAATTTATTCAATACATCAAAGTATGTTGGGCTAGAAAAAAGCATCGCTGTATTTTAATATATATCTAATAATTTTGCAGTTAACCTCTTAAAAGATGAAGTAGCTGAATTCTGAAATTTGAATGAAGAAGTAATGAAGAAACTTTCTAATTAATCTTGTCTCCTACTCAATCTATTCCTAAAAGAATTGGAAATAGCTTTTCAGGCTGATGACTGAAATATCAGTACTTGAGGGAATGGAAAGAGGATGGAGTCACAAACATTGAAAATGCATTCTTAAATTTGTGAAAGAGAATGGAGACAGAGATTAGTAATTGTTAGCCAAATCCATAGAGGAGAAGTTATGAGACAAGAAAAGACATTCTCAAAGGAGAGTTTAGGGCAGTGGGCAGGGGGCAGGATAGTGGGTGATGTGTTTACTTAGTCGGAAGAATAATGCCCCAGGAGAGAAAGGGCAGTCAGAAAGCTCTGAGTGACATGAGTGCACTGTCATCAGCAACATACCTAAAAGCAAGATTTATACTAATGCTGCATGTAAACCATTTGAGGAACAATGATTGTAAGGATTCAGAATTTTACACTGTGACCCTCCCATGTCCTTGTTCCCCCACATGTCCCAGCCCCCTCTTTGACATATGATGTTAGCTCCTTGCTGGTCCTATCTACCCTCTTGGGAAATTTTAAATTCCCCATATGATGGCTGCTAATACCAAAGATAGGGTCCTTCTTTTTCCTAGAATCCTCTTTAACCAACATTCCTGAACCTCACTGAATACCTCTTGCTAAAAGTTTATAAAAATTCTGCACTTTTTCCCCAAGTGAGAGTCCTCCCTAGGAGCCTTCTCGGGCCAGCCATTTTCCAATAAAAACTTTTGTTAATAATTAACTTTCTTCTGTGTAACACATACAAAACTAAATTTAAGGGAGAAAGGTATAATTTGCTGTCAGATGTGATAACATTTTATGGTTTTATGAGAGAATTTTAATATGCATAATTTAAATTGGGCTCATCATAATGTAATTTAAGAAAGCTGAAAAGTAAACTGATGCATTTCAAAAAAAATGTAACAAAGATTGAAATAATATTTTCTTCTTAATGTACTGTTAACTTAAAATTTTAATTAAGAAAATGCGATTTCCCAGTCAGAGCAATTAATTTATGTTTTATCATGACAATTGTGGGAAAGTTTGGGGGCTACAGTGAAAATTGTTTGCTCTAATAATTATCATTTTTTGTAGTTGTTGTTGAAGTATAAGATATGAGAGAAAACAATACCTGTACTCATTGCAATTTGGGAGGGGGACTGGATTAAATATTTAGTCAATCTAGTTAATATCCCTCTGGCCCAGTCTTAGGAATTTTTGGCAATAACCTCATAGGTAGTTCAAAGAAAGGTACAGAGAGTGAGACATCCAGCGAGGTTCTGAGCTTGGAAAGTCATCTAGGCTAAAGCCAGCTATCCTGTATCCAGAGCTTCTAGGATGGAGTGCTACTTCAGACTGAATCTAGACCAGAGCTCAAACAAATACCCCTATACAGGAGAAGAAAATAAAATGGTTGGAGTTCCTGAGATACTAGGCTGAGATAGACGGTCAGTCTACAAGTCCTAAGTGAGCAGTTGTCACATAAGTCAAACAGTATATGTAGGAAGAGAGAGGCTACAGATCGGGTACTCTAATGCTCAAAGTATTCTGATGTAAAAAAAATAAGAACACATGCTTATAATTTACAGATGACACTTACTTATAACACTTCCCCTCAATTGGAAATTGTTTGCAGTTATTACAGGGAATTCCAAGGTGTTTGTCCAGTCTCTCTTTCTCTGCTGCAGTTACAAGTTTGCTAGCATTTTTGAATTCCTCCAAAATAAGTTTTAATGGTGCAAACTCTTTCCTGCACAGAGGACATTTCAACATGGAAATGTTTGATGTATTCTGATAATTAGCTAAGATCTTCATGCATTTTATATGAATACTATTGCCACAACCAAACCTACGAGAGATAAAATTCAAGTTTACCATTTGTATACAGCAGTTTTATAGATTCATTGTATATATTATATATATTTATATAAACAAAATTTCTTATGCTACCATCTTTATTCCACATAAAAATAGATTCTGAACTGATTGTCAGATATAGCTTGATTACATACACACGCACAAACTCACTCACTCACTCTATTAATCAATCATCTTTAATACAATAGAATTCCAAACTTAAATTTTCCTTCATTCCAATGAAATGGTGAGACTTTGCATCATTAAAATATTTTCATTTGTAAAATGAGAATGAATATAGGCTTAACACAAAGGAAAATAATATTATTTTAATAAAACGCTTCACTGAGAGCAGGGGTGCACCTTACTTTTCCAGAAGTCACACAATACATGGTATTACCAAAGAAATATCTACTGAGAGAAATACCATTTTGGGAAGTAGTTAATAATTTTACAATATGCAATAGAAGCAGACAGATTAACAACCACAATATAAACAAAGTTTTGTTAAATGATCAGGAGAAAAAAAGAATGAAAAATTGCAATGGCAAATGACTGTCCAAATTTTTCAAATCCTACTTTATAGTGCTGTGAAGAAAAGTATGAATATTAGACTCTCAATAAACATTTGTGCATATGTGAAAATTGAATTATTTAGGTTTAAAGATAGAATTTTGAAAAACTGAAAATAATTTTTGTAATTTCAAAGTAAAATAATCTTTACTTTCAGAAAACTCTTTATAAATATAATATGCCATAGCATTTATTCGTGTGTATAAAATAAAAGCACGGAAATTATTCTACTCTTGCTATTCAAGGTGGGAGGAGGAATAATTGTGGAATTATGTTTCAGTTTTCACCCTTGAAGTGTAGCTCAGAAAGATTTAGAGTAAGAGCATATATTTAGCTCATAACATATATATATGTTAGGAAACAAAATAATGTTAATTAAGTATAAATTAGCAGTAGGTAAAGTTGTCTATTTTTTCTCTATCATGTCTCCTAAGGTAATAAATCACAAATATGTTTCAGAATTTGTCATAAGTTTTAAGAATCCAAAGAAAAAATACATCACCTACAAAAGGTGACAGGAAGCTTTTTCTCTAAAAGTAGCTCTTGACAAATAGAGCAGATATCCTCTGAATCAATTTCCTTCTGTTTAATGTATTCATCTTCTTTAACATGTTCATTTTTGTCATTTGTTCCTGGTTGGGGAGTTTGAGCTCGATGTATCCCCCGAAGCAAGTCATCTATCTCTCTTTCTACAAGACCCATCTGTAAAGCAGCTAGTGAAAAATCCCAAAGTATTAAAATTCAGTCACAAAACTGGAGATACAGAGAGGTAACAACTTATGCTGAAAGTTGGAATTTTCTTTCAAATATCAGAAAGACAGTTTTGATTGAATTATTACACTGACACTGACCACTTCCTTATATATTTTTTCAGAGCCAAAATGTCTGAAGAGTCACTTAAAAAATAAAAAAATTATTTTTTTTCTTGTTACTAAAGAAGAGTCAATGCAAACAGTGCCCTTGAATATGTAACTGTTCATCCTTGCATTGGTGTTACAATCATGTCGTATACTTTGATCTGTTCTCTTGTCCATAAACAAATATTTTATCAACATATAAGAATATTAAAATAATTAGTACATGAATATATAAGGAGGAAACAGGGATATCTGAGTAGCTACTCTATTTGTTAGATGAGTAAGTGAATGAAAAAATAGTGGAAGAGCAAGACTTAATTGTGCCTATTTTCTGTTTCTGTTTGGTGTACCTATAAAATAGTGTCTCATTAGTCTTGTCCTCAAGAGATTTGGTCAGTGTTTCTAAGGAGAATCTATTAGTTACTATATTGCCTGTACCATTGGCATGTGCATTTTTTGAATTCTGAATTTCCTCCATCCTGCAATCCTTAAGGGAATGTCTAAGTGCCTATAGTTTTGATCAGGGAATCCCAGATTCTTCATTCATTGGCCCATCCCTTTGCTCCTTCCAACATGCCATCATTTGAATGCTAGTTGTTATTGGTCCCCTGCCTTCTATTCAATTTGTATATCTTTTATATATATATATATATAAATTTAAAATTATTTCCAAGATAACGAAATGCCCTGTTATTCTGGAAAGACCCTCCCCCTCCCAAACTAAACACTAAAAATACTAAAAACAGCACAGTTACATTTCAATACAGAAATCGCTGCTCCCTGTCTGAGGTGGTGTAACAAATGGACTGGCAGAGGGCACTATACATTAATTAACCATTACTTTGGGGGAGAAGAGCTATTTGTCACAGAGACAGCAACATCTGCTCTCTAAAAAAGGGGAGAAATATTAAAAACAAATATTGTGCTTTCAGGAATGAAGATGCTCTGGGACAACAGAAATACTTAAGAATAAAATTTTAGAAAAGAAGTTGGCCACAAGCTGTTCTGTGCGGTAAAATGTGAATTGGAAAATAAAAGGAAGAAGCAGCCTCTTCTAAAGTGAATTTGGAAAAATTAATGTATAAGACTATATAGGAATATTTTGAAAGAAATGAGCAAGATAGCTAACCTGAACTGATATCACAATGTGTTGTACAAATAATAAATGTAATAATATATGAGAACTCTCTAAATAATAAACATTGTTAAAGAAGAAAAAAGGATTATCATACTGTAACTGACATAACTGGGTGACAATATGGAGGAAAATAAACCAAATACCAGCCTCCAACTTGTACCAAAGTGACTACACACTGATGCTATTATGTAATGAAGAACAAAAATAATAATAAAATGAGAAGAAAAAACTCCAAAGGACTATTGATACTATGGAAGAAAGACAATTTTTAAAGGGTTGAAACAATAAACATGAAAAGAACATATGAGCTGATTTAATAACACAAAAATTCATATATATAACAAAATTTGAGAAATCCATAAAGAAAATATTTATAACAGAATAGAAAAATATTTTAAAAAGCAATGCTTACAATATTTAAGAAATGTTTGCAGTTTTATCGATAAATAACCAAAGTACAATTCACATGAAACACAAATCATAAACAAGGCAGTAGAAGATGTCCAATTTCATTGGTATTAAAGACAAATGAGTTAAAATAAGAATAAAGCACAGACACTAAATAAAACTGACTGAATAAACAATAATAAATGTTATGATTTGTTTGCCTTATGTTATTTCTTTTGTATTTAAAATAGTTATTTGAAGCCATTTTAGATCTTCCATAAAGGAATGTTAAATAACTATACTGGAGAATAGAAACTATTTTCTTATTTAATTTACCATGCATGGATAGATTATTATGAACCTTGCACCTGGTGCTTTTCCTGCTTTATGTGGCTTTCTTTCCAAAATTATAGAAATATTACTAACATGGCAAAATATTTCTATTTGTCTTTATTTTCACATTTCTTAAATATACTGTTAATATCTTTCTTTGTATGTTAAGTGCTATAGTTAAAATGTGCCAAAAACAAGAATCCAAAAAACAAATAAAACTTAAAGAAAGTGACATATTACTGAAATCAGTGTAAATCAGCAAAATTATTCTGAAAAGAAATTTGGCAAAACATATGGGAGGAAGACATAAAAATATTAACACCTCTACTCCAAAACACAATAAGACTTTAGGCTAAGGAAATATTTGAAAAGAAGAAAAAGCTTCATGTGCAAATTATATAACAAGCAGTTAGAAATAAATTAAATGCCTAATAATGGAAGAATGTTAAATTGCTTATAGTATACCATATTCAGTGAAATATTAGCTAGCCTTTGATGACTTTCATTACAGAGATTATATAGCATTGAAAATATAAAGTAACACTGTCTGTTAAAAGCAGAACACAGAATTCTGAGACTTTTAGGCTGTTTTATGGTATATGTAAAATCATAAAAAGAAAATAGAAAATAAAAAGTTTATATCTTTCTGGTAAGAATTTAGAAAAATTTCCTTTAATGAGGTTTAAATTTTATTCATAAATATTTAATTACAAAAAGAATAGGTAGTATTTTCTAGTCATTGTATTTAAAATAAATTAACAGGTGGTAAATCTAGGTTTTGTTGGGAAAATATTTGTAGAAAAAAGAATGTTCAGTGTTCAAAAATTGATACTTTTCGAATAAAATTCTCATATAATCACTTTGTTCTTCAAAAAAAGAGAGTCTGAGGTGGTTTTTTGTTTGTTTGTTTTGTTTATTTGTTTGTTTGTTTTTTGGCCCTGTCACCTGGGCAGGAGTGCAGTGGCATGCTCTCAGCTCTCAGCTCACTGCAACCTCCTCCCCCCAGGTTCAAGCAATTCTCCTACCTCAGCCTCCAGAGTAGCTGGGATTACAGGCGCCCACCACCACGCCCAGCTAATTTTTGCATTTTTAGTAGAGGCAGGGTTTCACCACATTGACATTGGTCAAGCTGGTCTGGAACTCCTGACCAGAGGCAATCCACCCACCATGGTCTCCCAAAGTGCTGGGATTACAGTGAGCCACCTCACAGGGCCTCAGTTTTCTTATATGCAACAATAGAATATAGATAATTGCTTCCAGATTCCTTTCAGAAAAGAATCCCTGAATGATGTTCAAAACTCTTCTCTTCTATTACAAGTAACATTCCCTCCACACTTATTTAAATACTATACGTAATCTTAATGTGTAAATTATTTAGTTTTCTTTAAATTATTTTTCATGTATGTTTATTCTAGCTTTAATTTAAATGACAAATTTCAAGATCACTAAGGCTTGCTTTCTTCGAATATTATTATACTCTCTAGTATTACATTGTACACATGGGATTTTCTCAATGTTTACTATTTAAAATTTCTTTTAAATACAAAAGATATAAAAATGTTTATTTCAGAAGAAAGTACAAATTGTCAAATTACATAGGATTAATTTTAAACATTAAAAAATTCCCTACTGTAGACTGAATGCTGTCATCAATAGGTGCAAAGAATAATAATACAACATAAAATATTAGATTGATCAATACAAAATTGCTGTGTTTTAGATAAAAAACATTCATATACCAGCAATACATATGATTCAATTTATAAAAAGTACCTAGCATAGCTCCTGGCAAATGTGTGGTATAGTAAATATTTGTTGAATTTAACTGGGTAGAACTGCACTGTTGAATATGGTAGCTGTTAGCCATAGGTAGCTATTGTGTACTTGAAATTTGACTAGTGTGACTGAAAAACCAAATTTCAAACTCTTTAAAATTAAAAATTTAGTTTTTAACTTAGAGCTGATAATCTATAGTTATGAATATATATATAAGTATGTAACAATTTGGATATGTGAATCTATTTTTCAACTAAAATTTTTTAGGAAGTCTATATACAGATCAAGTATTTCCACTGAAAAATAGTGTCAGAATTGAGATGCACTATAGCAAACACGCTAGATTTTGAAGACTTAGTATTAAAACTAAAATAGCTCATAACTTTTATATTGATTACATGTTGACACAATAATATTTTGATGTACTGGGCTAAGTTAAAATATATACTAAAATTAGTTCCCTGTCTCTTTTTACTTCTTATAATATGGCTACTAGAAAATTACATATGTATGTCATATTCCTATTGGACAACCTCAGTATAGAAGCTTGTGACAATACTATGGAAAAACAGTGTAGAGAATAACTAAGCCTTTGGAGGTTGGGGGGCAACATTTAACTTCAGTGAATACAATGGAGAAGTCAAAAAGAAAACAATATGTATGAAATCATACAACCTAGTCAACAAGCAAGAATGGAATGAAAGAGAGGATTAAGAAGAGGGTGATATTTTAGAAAGAATCTGTCTATCTAGAGGATGAAAGACCAAGTGCAAAGTGCAGCCATTAAAAACAAAGAGGCTACACAGAATAGCACTAAGGGCTGAGAAAAGTGTAACAAAGGTAAGAATGAGTATGGAGAGATAGAAACACTAGAGAAGCATGTTGGATGTAAATCAAGCAGGATTTGTGGCATGTGTAGATATATGGCAGAAGAAGATGAGAGAGAAAAAATCACAGAGAATGATCAAAGTTTATAGCTGTGAAGAGAAAATAAAAAGGAAAGCCAGTATGTGAGGTAGGAAATCTAAAAGGGGAGCACAGATGGAGAAATCTCGGATTTAAGATGCCCATGGAACCTCCAAATTGAGCTGCCCATAAGGCAACTGGAAATGCTGGTCTGCTGGTAAGAGTGGGAATCGTTGATACAGAGTTAATAGTTGCAGACATGGAAAATGGGAGACATTTCTAATAGAATATATAGAGTAAAAAAGAGAACAAAAGAAAAATCCCTGTGAAACACTAATGATAATTTATCGGGTATAAATTTTAAAATATGTCTACTGTGATTGTAATTATATAATAGCTGGGGGAAATAAACTTGCCTAAATAAAACCAACACTCGTTGATAGAAAAAAAATTAAAACTAATTATCAATTCAATTCTTCATGAATATCAGAAACATTTATTAATAGTTTTTTTTAATTTTACTTTAAGTTCTGGGGAACATGTGCAGATCTTGCAGGACTGTTACATAGGTATACACATGCTATGGTGGCAGTTCTTAGATGGGTCTAGTATAAGTCAAACAATTCCTCAACTGCAGTTAATCTTTTCACCATGACAGTATCTTTATTATAAAATGTACAAATTTAAGTGACCTATAATGCAATTATTTTTCTTTCTCTCTTGCTTTTGAGAACTCTGGAATTTAAACTTATATAACTATATAACTGGCTCTAAACTCAATTTAAGTACTCACCTAAAAACTACATTTTACTCTGCTTTTTTTTGAAAAAAAAATTTCATTTAGCAAACATTTTTGAATAATATAATGTGCCATGCCAACTATCTATTTCTGGTATCTAAAAAAAATCACATTTGCTATTTTTCTCACAATTAAAATAATTTTAGATACAGAAACAACTGTAACCTTTTCTTAGAATACATAAATGTTTTTCTACTTGACAACTAGCCATTGCTTCACACCTGTTTTTAAGTGCCTATGAGTTTGAAAATGACATATAAAGTTACATTTTTTTAAAGATGAAAAATGTTCCAAGTATCTTTAGTTTAACAAGCTGAGCTACTGATAGTTTCCAGATTTCTTAGAAAAACAGCCACCTAAGTTTAGAAAATGTTAAATAAAAAATTCTCATATTTTTTATAATTATCATATTAAATCAGTAAAATAAAATAACAAAACAAAAAACTCAGACCCCAAAACTTACATTCATGGTTCCTTGGAAGCTTGAATTTTTTCAACAAGACCCTAACATTCACAAGTAGAAAAAAAATCAAGACATTTATTTTTGACATAACCTCAAAAGACATTTAATATATTTAGAATAGAAATTGAATTGAGTTACATTACTGAAAGTGTTATGAATAAACCTAAAACTTATCAATTTTCTATTATAATAGTTGTTAAACTTATATTTTAAAATAACCATATGTGAAAAAAGTATGATTAATGAAAACAAAAGACATTTGGTGTAAATAGATTTGTCAGAAAGAGTCCATGTATTCCTAATGACATACAGTCATTCACAGGGAAAGGATAATGAGGGGATTTAGGTATTTATGGTACTGCCTTTAAACTTCTCTGAAAATGGAGTAATTTTCTGGATAGGGTACCAAATGGCTGTTTTCCTGCATATACCACTTTAACGGACCACACTTCACCACTATGCAATATATGCATGTAAGAAACCTGTACCTGTATCCTCTAAACACATAAAAATTAAAAAATGAAAATTTAAAAAGTGATGCATAGTCATATGTTAATTGAAAAGAAAAATATTTTGAAATTTGACTGCCATTGGCCAATATGGAAAAGGTGAATACTTTCAATTCGTATTTATGCACGTAGAATAGAAAAATAATCTTTAAATTTTACCAATTAAAATGGAATGCAACCTTTAAAAAAAAGTGGGAAACACCTATCATTATTCAAAAATACTAAATATACTTTAATATGTAAAACACTTTGATTATATTGCCATTTACTTAATCGTTAACAATATTGTACAACGTGAGTTATATAATAATCAAAACAGAATACCCTTGCCCTAACATAAAATGAAAATGAAAAAAAAGCCTATTTTAAATGTAATCATAATACCAAATTGTAAGTTGTGAAAGGACCATATTTTATCTTTATGTCGAGTAGAGTAAATAACTTGTGTTACTAGATGCTTAATAAAAACTGATCAAAATCAAAGATCAAAAAACTTGGTAGGTAAAAACATTAGAAATAACAACTATGTGTTTTTTACTTGTAAAGAAAAGCATTGGAAATATGAAACTCATAATCTTTTCTTATTTTCTTATTTTTTCATATTAAAGATCAACTAAATTAAAATAATATTAATAAGTTAGTAGGAGTACAGATAGGCAAAACAAAATGAGTTGATTTGGATTTAAACTAAAGAAATTTTTTTAAATATTTCTAGAGGTTAATTACCCTACAAATAGATTCTGACACTAGAGAAAAAATTTCAGATTTGATAGACATAATCTTCAGTAAAGTTCTACTTCAATCTTGAAAGATTTATAGTCAAAGTCAACAAAGTTATACACTGGGGAAATGACATTCTATTTAATAAATGGTGCTGCGAAAATTAGGTAGCCATAAGCAGAAGAATCAAAGTGGACCTATAGCTTTCACTATATACAAAAATTAACTCAAAATGGATTAAAGACCTAAATGTGAGATCTTAAACTACAATAATCTTGAAGAAAACCTAAGAAACACTCTTTTGAACATTGGCCTGGGCAAAGAATTTATGATCAAGTCCTCATAAGCAAATGCCAACAAAAAGAAAAACAGTTTAATAGACTTAATTAAACAATAACGCTTCTGCAGAACAAATGAAACAATCAACAGAGCAACTATAAAGCTTCTGACCAGCAAATGAAACAATCAACAGAGTAAACAGACAACCTAAGGAATGGTGAGAAATATTTGCAAACTATGTTTTTTGACAGAGGGCTAATATCCTGAAAACCCAATAACCTCATTAAAAAGTGGGCAAAGGACATGAACAGACATTCAAAAAAAAATACAAGTGGCCAACAAACATATGATAAAATGCTCGACATCACTAATCAAAAGAGAAATGGAAATTGAAACCACAATGAGATACCATCTTATACATGTTATAATGACGATTATTTAAAAGTCAAAAAACAACAAACATCGATAAGGACCTGGAGAAAAAAGAATGCTTATATACTGTTGCTAGGAATGCAAGTTAGTATGACCTTTATGGAAAACAGAATGGAGATTTCACAAAGAACTAAAATTAGAGCTACCATGACCCAGCAATCCTATTCCAGGGTATATACCTACAGGGAAAGAAATCATTATATCAAAAAGATGCCTGAACTCATATGTTTATCACAGCATTATTCACAGTAGCAAAGATATGGAATAGGCCTAACTATAAATAATTTTAGGCTGGATAAATAAAATGTGGCATAATGTGGTATATATAGACAGGCCGGGCACAGTGGCTCACTCCTGTAATCCCAGCACTTTGGGAGGCTGAGGTGGGCAAATCATCTGAAGTGGGGAGTTTGAGACCAGCCTGACCAACATGGAGAAATCTCATCTCTACTAAAAATACAAAGTTAGCTGGGCGTGATGGCACATGTCTGTAATCTCAGCTACTCAGGAGGCTGAGGCAGGAGACTCGCTTGAACCTGGGAGGCAGAGGTTGCGGTGAGCCGAGATGGCGCCACTGCACTCCAGCCTGGGCAATGAGAGCAAAACCCGCCTCAAAAAAAAAAATGTGGTGCGTGCGTGCGTGCGTGCGTGTGTATCTACCATGTAATACAACTCAGCCATAAAAACTAATAAAGTCATGTCTTTTGTAGCAGCATGGATGGAACTAGAGGCCATTATCCTAAGTGAAATAATTCAGAAATAGAAAGTCAAATACTGCATGTTCTCAGTTAAAAGTGAAAGCTAAACAATGGCTCACATAGACATATAGAGTGAAATAAGAGACAGCAGAGACTATATTCACTATTGGGGTGATGAGTACACTAAAAGTCCAGACTTCATCATTATGCAATATATGCATGTAAGAAACCCGTACTTGTACCCCCTAAATACATAAAAATTTTTTCAAATGAAAATTTAAAAAATGATTCATAGTCAAATGTTAATAGAAAAGGAAAATATTTTGAAACTTGATGGCCGCAGACCAATAATAAAAAAGGTGAATACTTACAATTCCTATGAACACATGCAGAAAATGGAACATTTACTATTCAAGAAAATGTGATTTTGGAAACACAATTTGTTGAAGCACAGCCGTATCTCAAATGAACCACATAATTATCATCAGTGGTGGGATCAGGATTTTCCATTTTTAGTTAGATTTCACATTTGTACATGAGAATCTAAAATTGATTTTTTTCTATTTAAAAGCATTAACATTATAAAATGCTTCTCAATTTAAATGTTATTCAATTTTCAGAATAAAGGGAAATACTGAAAAATTTATTGTTAAGCCATGACCATTTTAACTTTATATTCCCCTAACACCACATTTCCTTAATTTTGTTGTTATTCAAGCCATGAAAAAGACAAAATATGTAACACACCAAGATGTTCCTTTGTGGAAGGTCTTCATTAAAAAGTCACTTACCAGCAGATATGCTTACAAAGTTCCCCTCCTTTCAGAAATGTGGAACAGTTACAAACATGAGGATTTCCTAGAAAAACCTTTCAAAGAAAAATGCATACATTAAAAAAATCAGTAAAATTTTAGAGTTAAAGCAAAACTGAGTTAATAAAAGAGATTTGAAGAGGTAATTTAGTTTAGGTGATTCCAAAACGTTGAATAGATTTCTTCTGGAGAATCTTAACTCTTGATACCAGTCTGTAGGCTGATTTTTCATTTCATTATTTATCTTTGTTAGCAACTGAACAAATTAAAATGGTTTTAAAGTGACCTGCCCTTAGGCAGGTGAAAATAAATCTAATTTACAAAGTAAAAAAACAAAAAAGCAAAAATCAACCCATAAATTCCTTACTGTAAGGAAATTCTACTTTGGGGTGCAGCTAAGCACCTTTTGTAAGGTAACTCTTTTGGATTCTGTTTTATATATTTGAGTCGGTGAATTTATTTAATTTTATTGAAGAGGACAAAATTTATTCACCAAGGCTAGTTTGGCTAAAACAATTAAATACAGTAAGTATTAAAGCAACCAAGTTTAAAAAAAAAAAAGAAAAAAGATGCTTTAAATATGCACAGGCTAGTAAACTGCATTCAGCTCTTAAACTGCAGGACAATAACGTAAAATTTTGTAAGTGAACTCCTAGGAGGTAGTACAGTGGCTGATTTTTGAGCGGTTAAGAATGGAATATGCCGGGCGCAGTGGCTCAAGCCTGTAATCCCAACACTTTGGAAGGCCAAGGCGGGTGGATCACGAGGTCAAGAGATCGAGACCATCCTGGTCAACACGGTGAAACCCCGTCTCTACTAAAAATACAAAACAGTAGCTGGGCATGGTGGTGCGTGCCTGTAATCCCAGCTACTCAGGAGGCTGAGGCAGGAGAATTGCCTGAACCCAGGAGGCGGAGGTTGCGGTGAGCCGAGATCGCGCCATTGCACTCCAGCCTGGGTAACAAGAGTCAAGCTCCGTAAAAAAAAAAAAAAAAAGAATGGAATATGCAAATATGAAATATCTGTGGTCTTTCAGCAAACTTAAATTTTTATTCATTAATACCTTTCCAAGGTATTGCCATTTAAACCACCCTTCAATAGGGCCTTTATACAGTTTCAGGGTGAGCAAAGAGTAAAGGGAAATCGTTTATTTATTTAGCACATATTTCCAGTATGCTAGCAGACTGTAGAATTTTCATTTCGTTTGATTTACAAGACTAATGACCACTAACAAGGGATCCAAGAACACATGGAATGCAAACCAGATATTCATATAAAGCCTCTGACTTTTTCAAGCCTAAAGATCAAGAGCCATCATCTTTTACAAGAGTTGCAGTTTGAGATCTTAACCTCCAAAAAAGAAACTTCTAATAAATACTATTTCCTTCTTAATTTGCAGGTCTTTTGGAGTCTGGAACACTCGCGGGGAGGCGCTTTTAGGGGTGAGGCAGCAAGTATCTGCAGGGATTGTGATGGTGGCTACACACATTGGGTACGCGGGGCGGGGAGGGGGAGGTTGGTTGGGGAGTGAGGGGGAACCCGGTGGACTGGGCTGGTGGCCAACAGCAGGCGGTAGGGGCGGTAGTTACTCGGAAATTCTTGTTTTCCGGCTCCTCCTCCCTCAGCAGGAAGCCTGTGGGGCCCATCTCTCGCAGGAGGTAGATGCTGCTACTTAGCGCCTGGTCTTGGTGCCAGCTGAGGCTCTCGCTCAAGTGTCTTCGCCTTTCAGAGGCCTTATAGCCTCCGCGAAGCATCCTAGCTGGGTGCGGGCGGAGGCGGCCCCTCAGCTTGGCTCGCTGAGGCGCCTGTGTGTCCAAGACAACGGCGTGCAGGCTGGTTGCCTTGGTGACGGTGGTTGGGCTCCGCGGTGTCCCGGCGTGCCTTGCGCCGACGGAGAGCCGGCAACAAAGGTGCGGGCTGGCGGGGATTCCGCAACTCGCCCCAGCCTCCACTGCATTTTGAAGTGACGCCCTTGAGGAGTGTTTTTAATAATCATCTGGCCTACTTGGAAGCTGGCGGCCGAAGGCATAGCTGTCAATTTTCTTGCGTTCCTTCTTCTGCTTCCTCGGGGCAGAGGTGGTGAAATCTGCGTGTTTTGAAAGTTGCAAACCCGATTGCAATCTGGACTCTGGATGCTAAAATTATCCTGTGGTGATTCATCATCTTTATCAGAAAACCGAGGTTACAGAGCACAGAGCGATTTTTGACGTTCAACAACATTCCACAAACGTTTTCTAACTGTTCAGTATGTGCACAGGTTAACCAAGTCTCCGGGGAGAGATGTAGAAGTCAGGAAGTCTAAACCCTAGAAAGTGTATCACCCGTAGAGGCGCCGTCTGTAGTCCCAGCTACTTGGGAAGTAACTAGATGCTTAAGTCATTGCTCTGTGTGTGTGTGTATGTGTGTGTGTGTGTGTGTGTGTGTGTGTGTGTTGGAGGGGGAATGGTCTCCAAGTAAGGGAACGTTTTTTAATTGCATGTTTGGAGGTGGTGGCACAGAATCCATTGACTATAGGTACATGAAACTTACAAATCTGTATACTAAAGACTAAGAGTTTAAAGGTATGCAATATTTAAATTAAATATTTAAATATCCAATAATTTAAATTGTCTCTGAACTTTGTTACCACGTTTTAGGGAGAAAACTGTAATAAAGTATGGGTCAACATTTTGAGTCATAATTACTAAAAATAAGCCATATTACTAAAATCTCTATAGGAAATTAAAAGCAGGAGATAGCACTATTTAGAGGCCCAGTAACCTTTGCCTTGGTGGCCAAAGATAGAGGATATTTGTCCTATTTTATCACGGGTAGAAATCATAAGTAGATTATGTCAAAAGCAGGAGAATTCTCAGAAAATGGCAAAGGCACAAAATGTAACAAAATGGTGATAATGACAGGTTTCACAGGTGAGACACACGGATAAACATCATACAACCCTTAAAATCTTAGGGCTAAGGTTTTTATTTCCTAGATTTTATTTTTACTCTCTTATTCTGACTAATAACAACTCACATTCATACTCCTAACTTTAGCATCAATTTAATGGTACTAGATTTTAAAGTAATACATTATAATATTAGAAAAAATTCATATATAGAGAAAAAGAAATTATAAATTGGATTAAATTATTTTACATACTTTTAAAATTCAATAAATTAATGAAAATCCATATTTGCTATATAACATGATGAGTTGGGTTTCAGAGTGAAAACACTTTATTCAGCCATCAATTTTTTCTCTCTCCTTATATATATGTGTACATATAAAGTTACAGAATTTTTAAAAACAGCAAATATTGTTAAAGCTGTTGTGTTTTACTTATAACTAGATAGTGATACTTGTTTACTTGCTCCATGTATAAGTGTTAAACATTTTCAAAGGGTCACATGTTTAAGACACAAGTCATTATATCAATGGAATATAGGTTCATAAATTCCATTTGGAGGGATGGTAAAAATAATGGTGTTTATGCTTTCATAAAAGTCAAAAAATGAAAGCACAGATGGCTAGACAGAATTTCAGTCTAGTTGTAAGACATTTGTTTTTATACCTGTCAGTTATGACTTTAAAAACATTTTTATAGTCAGGTGACTATCCCATATGTTTGCTTCATCTCTTAAGAGTTTGCGATAGGGGTAACATTTTGCAAATGTTAAATTGGAGAATTGAATTTCCTCCTTAAGGTATATTCTGTGGCATATTACTCCAGGTGAGAGGGAGGTGGTTACTGCAAAAAACAAAGATGTGGGCCAGGTGCGTTGGCTCACGCCTGTAATTCCAGCACTTTAGGAGGTCAAGGCTGGGGGGATTGCCTGAGCTCAGGAGTTTGAGACCAGTCTGGGCAACATGGCGAAACCCTGTCTCTACTAAAAATGCAAAACTTGGCTAGGCATAATGACTGTAGCCCCAGCTACTTGTGAGGCTGAGGGGTGAGGATCACTGAGCTTTGGAGGTTGAGGTTTGCAGTGAGCAGAGATTGTGCCACTGTACTCCAGCCTGGG